ATGAACTACACTACTGCATAACAGTCTATAGCTTAAACATCCCTCTATTGAGAGTAAGTGTTTACCGTGAGCAAATTGATGGGATATTTACGCTGATTTTAGCATCTGTCTTTAGAGATGGACCACATAATATCATTATTTTTATAGAAAAGTTTAATCATAGGTCAATTGCCTTTGTCAATAACGAACCTGTGGAAGAAGAAGTTTTGACTGGTGTGAAGAACCATCCTCGTAAAAGTTGTTGGCAATCCTTACTGTTTGGTCTACAATAGATCGTAACTCATTTTCCGAAATCCAAGGTTCCTCTTTTATCCCTTAGTAAATAACCGAAGTAGTGGTTATAAGGCTTTCTTTATACGTACAGATTTTTTTTTATAGTTTAAAACTTTAACAAAGCACCTTCAATATAATTCTTGTTTATATTCTGGTGTAGAATATTGCATTTGAGAATGATCGTTTCTTATGAAACTTCGCATTTCATAATTGCTTCTTAATGGTTGGATATTCTTTCTTTATTAGCCTCGAACTAGCACTTTTATAAGCAATGAACCTTCTATCCTATCGATTGCAGTAAGCATTTTTTTTTTAAAAAATAAAAAAATAAAAACAAAAAACAAGATCGTTCAATTTTTCTCTTTTTAACTTTATTAATAACTGAAAAAATGTACAATAGCTGGCTTTGTCAGCCAATCATTTATTATAAAAGTTCTGCGGATTCTGCTCAGGCAGATTTTGGCATTGAACTGCGCCAAAAGCAGAATTCTGCGCAGATTCTGCCCTGCACGGATCACACCTACACCTTTAAATTATATATCTGATATACAACTCATTCTGAACACTCGTTATATAGTGAAGATTCTATTTTTTGAATTACGGAATTATTAAATTTCAGCTCGATATAGTGAAGTACATAAATATAATATAAGCCATAAGGAAAATTTTTTTTCTCAGCCCCGGGACTAAAGTAAGTTGTATAACTTTTAAAAAAATTAATCCTAAAAATATAAACACCGGTACTTATACGTAGAAATAAAATATTTTTATTTAATATATAAATAGCAAGTACTAATAATTTTTTTGCCAAATATTATTCAAAGCACACACAACCAAGAAATTCTCCAACTTATACAATTAGTTTTGAAAATTTTTTATAAAAATTATATTTAATATTTGATTTTATTAAAATAATATTATTATTTATATTAAATAATATTTTATTTCAAAAACTAGATTCAGGTGGAATAGGTTGCTTTGGATGTTTGGCCTACAACATAAAAATTAAAATTAAAATTAAAAGGCAAATTTTGTATAATACAAAAATATTATAAATGTCATTTACCTCCATATGTTGAACAATAACTTTATAGTTAGCAGCCGGAGTCTAATTAGATGTATGTTAATTAGTTTATAAGATCATTAATCATCGTTTGAAACAAAATAATTTTACCTTACAAATAGGACATTTCATTTGTAAACCCTTTGCGCGAGCTTCTAACTGTGATTTACCACCAGCTCTATTTTCAGCAAGTTTTTGAGCTTTTTCTCTAAAATAGTATGGTTAGAGATCAAATGGTTAAATAAAAATTTAAACGTATGTATATGTAAAGGTTCTAAAGCCTTTGCTTAGTAGCAATGAAAATGCATTCCTACCGTGCTTGTTCCTATCAGAAATTTCATAAGTCAATATTAGTCCAGAGTTCTATATACACAACTAAATAAGTTGATGACGACTAACCTTTTGCTTTCCTCTAACCATCTCTAAAAAAAAAAAAAAAAAAAAAAATAGTGGCAAGCACGTTTAATGAGAGCTGGAAGCAAAATAGCACTGGATATTAGATGTTCTAGACCTGTGACACGAATTGTGGTTTTTTCCTTTTTTTTTTTTTTTTAGTAACACAATAGGTTTAGCTGATACTCTGTCATTTTCACTTTTGAAAACTTAGCCGGTTTAGTACACTTTAAAAATGCAAACTTCACGTTTGTATTCATTATTTTTTCGTAATTACACTAAAACATATTATAAGCCAAAGTTTGGAAATCGTAATATCCACAAGGTATTAATATTACAAGGTATTTTCTTTATAAGATTTGTTTTATTTAAAATTCTAGTAAACTTTTTGATGCTTACATTTCACTTCCATATGCATAGAATTTTTTTCATGCGACGCGAGCAACAAATGAAGCAGCCAAATCACCACCTCCCGCAGAGGGTTTCTCGGTTGAAGTTACACAATCGAAATTCATTAGAAAAACTCGAGAAGAAGCATTAGATAACCCAGAATTGGCAGAGACCAATGTTGCGCAGGGTATTTAGAGAATTCTTATCCTTGCTTATGACTTTAGTTTATTTAGTAATCAAATTCCTTTGGAAATTAGGTGAAACAAAGCAGATGAACATGTTTCAGTCGATCAATGATGCGATGCGCATCGCATTAGATTCTGATGATAAAGCCGGTAGAATCAAGACCAATCTAATGGCAAATTTCTTTACATACTAAATGCTTTGGTTCTCACTACTAGTTATTTTCGGAGAAGACGTAGCTTTTGGTGGCGTATTTCGGTGTACTATGGGGCTTGCTGAAATGTTTGGTAGGCGAATAATGAATGTTTTTTGATATTATAGATTGAAAATTTGACATTTCTTATGGTAATAGGCAAAGACCGAGTGTTTAACACTCCATTAACTGAACAAGGCATCGCTGGATTTGGCATTGGCATGGCAGCAATGGGGCATACTGCAATTGCAGAAATTCAGTTTGCGGATTATATTTTTCCAGCGTTTGATCAGGTACGATCACATTATGTATACTTTTTCACATTACTGCAGGACTATATATAATTTTATTATTTTATTGATTTAATTCAATTATTCTTCATTAAAAGCTTGTGAATGAAGCTGCCAAGTATAGATATCGTTCAGGTGGTATATTCGATGTTGGCGGTTTAACAGTTCGTTCACCTTGTTCGGCAGTGGGACATGGTGGGCTTTACCA